CGGGGAAGGGGGTGAACGCGCCGCAGAGGGGGCCCGGGGCAGGTGCGGGAGCCCCAGGGCGCTGCGCCCGAGGAAGCCGCCGGCTCCGGAGAAACAAAGAAAACTTGACAAGTGCGACGGGAAGATGCGCAGGGTCCCCGCGCGCCGTGCGGAGGGGACAGCGGCCCTGGAGGGGGCCTGTGCTCAGCCCCAGGCCCCCGCGTCTCTCAGGGAGATTTTTTTTTTGTCCGGGCCCGGGGCAGGTGCGGGAGCCCCAGGGCGCTGCGCCCGAGGAAGCCGCCGGCTCCGGAGAAACAAAGAAAACTTGACAAGTGCGACGGGAAGATGCGCAGGGTCCCCGCGCGCCGTGCGGAGGGGACAGCGGCCCTGGAGGGGGCCTGTGCTCAGCCCCAGGCCCCCGCGTCTCTCAGGGAGATTTTTTTTTTGTCCTGACAAAGCAGATGCTTCCCATTTGCTTTTTAAGGTTATTTATTTATTTATTTAAATCTTTGCAACAGGGGTGCTTCCTGGGTGGAGCTGTCTGGTTTTCAGCAAATATCGCTAGATATCAGGGGCAATTTTCAGAGCATCTCTTTGCTTCCAGTGTCAGCTGTCGCTTTCATGGACACATGTTACACCTCAAGCTAAGGAGAGCTTCCTAATCAAATCTGCCACCTTTAGCTGGGGTTGGCAAGAACACTTATTTGTATTTAACAATATGTGAGTGGTGATTTTCTCCTTTTGTTGTCTCTTAATTTCACTGAGACTATGGAACAGGCTGTGATATCAAAGTACTGGTTTCACTGCTCTGGTGAAATAAAGGTGATGTGAATAGTGGGAGCAAGCCTTCTTTTGAGCACGCTGCTCTTCAAACTCGTAAATGCAACAAATGTGAATAAGAAAATAAGCCTCCTATAGAAGGATGCTTTGTCTGGGGGAAAATGAAATGGAGTAATTCAAAGCTATTGTACCAGAACCCTTGTTTCAGAAAGGAGAAGCAAGTCAGCAAAAATGTTCTGGGGTTTTAAACCTATTACCCAGACTACTGGGATCCTCCCACTAGCTGCTTTCTTTTTCCCAGGGAGAGGACATAGACCTTTTTCTAGCTTGTTTTGGCCTTACTTGAAAGCACTGGATGCCTTGAATGCCTGGCTCTACTGGTATGCCCATATCTCTGACAGTTGTGATAGTGCTTACACAATTGCTGTTATTCAGCTGGGTATTCTCTGGCTTCACCAGCTACCACATCAGACTTGTAAAGGGCTCATGCCTAAGAAAACCAGGTCTGAAGGAATTTGGCTTTAAAGAACTTGTTTTGGTGGTAGTTTAGTTCATTTCTGTAAGTTGAAGAGTAAAACCATAATACAGCTTATGAAGTGTGGCATAGGCTTCTTTTTTAGTTATTTAATAGCAGAACACTGCTAGATTTATGTTTTATTCCTGGAGCTTTGTGTACGTGCCCTAGGAGCTATAAAACAGCTTAAAGCTGTTAAAGTTCAGTCCAGTAACACATTTGCAGACTTGAAGGTTTTTCAGACGAAACAAATCTAGACAGCGGCTGGAGTCCAGACATCAGTGGTGCAACCAGTACTTTGGCTCATAAGCTAAACTTCAGTCTCCATTCTGCTGCCAATTTGAAGATTTTAACACATTAACTTTTTTTTTTTTTTTTTTTTTTAATTGGCTGTTCATAGTTGGGAAGCCTGATTCTGATGTGTCTCCACGTAATTTTTTTCCTAAGATTAGTAGCGATTCTCCTTGCCGTGGAATGAAGGAAAGGCACAGGTGGAGCATGAGACTTTTGATAAATCAAAGAGCATGAAGAGTAGGGGTAATAGTGAAAAACAGTCCAAATAACTCCTCTGGACCTTCACATTCTGTACTGAAGACACAACATAGCTGGTATCATTTGTTGAAGGCCAGTGCACAATATGGTAGCCTCAAATTGTTTCTTTTTGGGTAAAATTTAGTCCATATGGCTGTAGTCTATCTGTTACAAGACCTAACAACTTTCTTCTTGTTCTCTTTTTAACTTTACTTTATATGTTGTTTATATGCTGCTTGTTAATGGCGATGGTATAATCCCTGAAATACAAAGTTGTAAATGAGGATCTTTCTCCAGGGTACTGCGCCCTCCTGGAGGTGGGTCCAACTTCTCCCTGGGTTTTGATGAGCCAAAAGAACAGCCTGTGCGAAGGAACAAAATGGCATCCAGCATCTTTGGAACTCCTGAAGAAAACCCGCCTTCCTGGGCTAAATCATCGGGTAAGGATGTAATGCTGCATTTCTGTATCTGCTGACAGCATTAATTCATTTTGGCTTTTGGCCTGAAGCTGCTGGAGGCTGTGTATGGAAACCTGGGCCGGGTTCCTACTTAGAAGTTCACTGTTATAAGTGATGTGTAGTTGTAAGGGTTTTTTCTTGTTTCAAATTACTTCTAAAGTGGTTGTTATTAGTCCAAGTCTTAGGCACGGGTGTTACAACTCCCCTGG